TGCGGTATACAGAATGTACCAATATATTCAATTTAAAATTTAAAAAAAATATTTGCAATGCATATATAGGTAACTCTCCATCATATACAAAAGGGTTACTCCTGTTGGCTGCTAGTTTGTAAAGGTTATAAAAATAAGAAACAAAAAGACAGATAATCAATATAAATAAGTCAGTGGACAAGATTAGAAGGTCAATATAGGAAAAATACAACTGGCCTTCACACATTATAAATGATGTTCAACCTTTCTTAGAATAAGAAAAGCTCAAAATAAAGATTACTAAACAGGACAGTGGCACACACTTATAATCCCAGTTTCTCTCAAAGCTAAGGCCACAAGAGGACCACAAGTTGAAAGATGGTATGCAAAGCTTAGTGAAATTGTGTCTCAAAATTAAATTTAATAAGGATTAAGGATGTAGCTCAGAGGCAAAGCACTTGCCTAGCAGACACAAAGCTCTGGGTTCAATTTCCAGTACTGGAGAAAAATTAAAATTCCTAAGGTACTACTTCTCACCTATCAGATGGGCAGCCCTTACCAAATCACATTAGAAAATACATTATGTTGCAGAAACTGTGGAGATATAGGATTTTATGCATTGCTTATATAAGTATAAAATAGCACAAATGTTATTTTTGTCAAAATTACACATTTAAATTTACTTACATTCTGGCCCAGCAATTCCACTTCTGGGAATTTATCCCAGAAGTAAATCTACCTGGGTACAAAAGAAGGTATTTTCAAAATTATTCATTGCAACCTCATTTTTTGCGTGTGTGCAAAAGGCTGAAAATAACTTTCCCAGGTGTAGATTCTGTTAAGTGTATCATGGTACATGTACAGAATGGAACACTATACACCTGCCAAAAGCATGAGATTATGTGAGAGAGCCACTTGCTTATTGACGTGAAAAAGGATCCAGGTTATACTGCTAGGTTCAAAAATGAAAGACAGAGGAGAGAGGTGGGGGGAGAGGGAGAGGGAGAGATTAAACTGTATTTTGTAATATGCTAGAGCTTCCATCTTAGGCAACTGGTCAACCTCTCTGGCCTCAGCTCTTCAATCAAAAGACACACATAACAAATTCTGCCCTACAAAGGTATGTTGAAGACTCCAAAGATGATATATTTAAATTTCCCAGCATAGTGCTGCCCAAAGCAAATGAGGAATAGTGGGAACCTTTTATATGAGCACAGCAATGGCTATGTTCAGGGACTTCTGGGATGGTTTTATTACAAGAAATAGCAGCATTTTGAAATTATAATTTAGTTTTAGGACATTAGTAAGTTGCTTGTTCTCAGATAAACCTCCCCTAAGGAAAAAAAATACAATCACTACCATTCCTACTTCTATTTTTTATCTGCAGGATTAATAGTACTACAGGTAATTTAAGTCTTGTGGTCAGTTCGAAATCTTAAATTCATTTCTTAGCCACACATAAAGAATGAAGCTGCATATAAAGTTCATATGTTCTTTGAAAAAAATATTTGCTTCTATAAATACATAAAAATATTTGACCTTTACTAAGTATTGCCCTTAAGTAGTCTGCATCTTGGAGTCTGCACAGTTTTGGGATACTGAGAACGTGAGTTCCAACCCCTCAGTACAAATGAGGGGGCTGACATTGCTGAGGCGGCTTATCTGGGAATGAGAAATATTACACGAAACATCACATACTCTGAGCGAGGAATCACGTTTCAGGGTTAGCAGGAAACCAGTTCTCTCTGGACTTTCGCACAGAATTTTCAACAACTCTCACCAAAATGTTTACAGTATGGTATCTATTTTCCCCCTGAACTTCCCTGGACTGTACAGCATTCGAAAAGGTTTCTTCTAGAGGATCCACTGCCTACCTTTGGGCAACAGGCACACAGTCATAACCCCCACCTCACCCAGGAGGCCAACAGAGAGTGGGCCTTGAAAGAAGCCAGGCTTCCAAGATGTGCTGTCAGGATGTGCACCAGCAGCAGACACTGTCCCAGCATCATTCGTCACTCCCAGCACTCACCCCAGAGGACCTCTTACATGAGATGCTTTGGAACAAAGGAAGAGTGCAGCGGAGGCAGAAAGGCTGTGGGTGTCTTACCGTGTTACTGAAGCTGTCTGTTCTAGACATGGAGGGCTCTTCGGTGGCATCCCAGCCCACAGAGCTTCGGGGCACTGGAGGTTTCTTGGGGTCATTTTTCTGAGCAGGGGGTGACAGGGGTGTATCTTTGGACTTGGGAAAGAGGACTTCATGGTCTCTGATCATCATGGTCATCACTCTTTGGATCTGAGGAGTCCCTGAAAGAACAAAGAAAGAGGTTCGCTGTGCTGAATCACAGGATAGGAGGCAGGAAGCCCTCAAAGTTTCCCACCATGATGTATCCAAACTCGGCCCTAAAGCCACAGGGCCTGACGCACTCATTTTGCTCCTCACTTACTTTGAGTGGGACTTTCCCCATTCCCCTGCCCTCCCTTCAACCCCTCTACCCCTCCCTATTTACAGAGACTTTGTTTCCATTTTTCCTTTACCTTCTTTCCTTTCTCCTACCCCTCCTGCTTCCCACTTCCTTTCCCCTTTGGACCTTTTCTTCCTATTTCACATTATCTGTTATACATTTTGGCCCTCATTTACACTTTCAGTTTCTTACACCAGAGAAACTATTCAGCATTTACACATGTGTGTTCTATTTATTTCACTTAAGACTATGGTCTCAATGTGCACCCATTTTAGCTATAAATGTCTTTAGTTTCTCACTCTTTTTGGCTGAGTTGTACTCCATTTTATAAAAAAAAAAATCATCTTTATCCAGTCACCAGTTGATGGGCATTAGGGCTATTTCCAAGATTCAGCTATTTATTATAAACTGTACTACTATTATATACATAAAATGTCCCAATAAACTTAATAAATTAAAAAATAAAAATAAATAAATAAATATAATTAACTACTCTGAGTGAGATATTGCGGTGAAATGAATGGACCAGAAGAATGGACATAGGTTAGAAGAAATGACTTGTTAAAGTTCTTTTCAGCCTGTATTGCACTGAGTCAGTTTTTAATCAGAAAACTAGGCAGTATAATAGGAAGGAAAAGGAAGCTATCTTTCTTTCTGGCTGTGGCACTCAATATGACATCTGGTTTCTCATTGGACACATAGAAAATGTGTGTCATGTATACTGCCTCCTCACACCATGGCAGACGTCAGTACTCTATGCCCAGACTTTTGCTCATTAAGTTAACAGGTTCAGAACTTTCTTAACCCAGTTTTACAGCAGCCTTTTGGTGAGATAACTTACGAAATGTAGCCTTGTTTTCTGTATCTGGCTAAAGGGTAAAGAAAAGCAATAAAGACTAGAAAACTTTCTTTTCATAGTAGCCCACTGTGCTGGATAACCATTGGGAAAGTCCTTGACCTATCTCTCTCTATTGTGTTCTGGAAAATTGATCCAATTCTAGCTCTGCCTACCTCATAGCACTTTTAATTCAATTCAGACAAGATAATCAGCTGACCATGCTTCACAAATTGCAGGCACAAACACTGCAACAGTGTTACTGTGCCTTCTTCTGTCCATGCCTTCATTACAGGACCAGCCTTGTGTACCTCTCATGATCACAGCAGGGTCTTCAACTTTTGACCTGATGAGATTCACACCAATTACAGTAGCCAGGTTGTCCACACTCATCTTGTTAACAGCACAGTTTAGCTGGATTTCATGTAGAAACCTGTAGGCAGCCAAGAAATCTCAGAGTAGAAAATAGGAAGTTGCCAAGAAACATACTTCTAGGTACCAATGTGGGACTTGTTTGATTCCAACACTTTCCTCCTATGTCAGGAATAAAATCAGCCCACTCTGCCCACTAAAGTTAAGCTTTGATCTGAAAGAACCAAGATCAATACAGAAAGAGAAACTACGAGGGACTACTTGCACAAGCTGCCAGGGGCAGGGTGGGGATCCCGGTGAAGAATCATGGGTGACTAGGTTCAATTAGGGGGCTAAGAGGAGACTAAGACTAACAGGGGTGTTTAACTGCCCCTTTGCCTTGCAACTATAGGCTTATCTCCTAGCTCTCAGCAGCTATGCCACCCACATCTCCAGAGAGGAAAACTTGATCGATGAGAAGGTCATAGAGATGATGAATCCATGGAGCCTCCTCACTCTCATTCTCCGATGAGAGCACCACATATCTCTGATGCTCAATAACTAATAATCAGTTTTTATTGTGCTTCTACTCATTTGGGGCATGAAAGTTTCAAAATCACTTGTAAAAAGAAAACTGAGCAGATCAGTATAGATAGACTGAAGCAACATAAGATTGCAAATATGGAGATATTATTAAATAAAGGGAGATGGGCCCAAGTGATGAAACATTATGAAATCTTATGGAGTCATTTATAATCCTACTTAACAATATAAGGTAAACACAGTGTAATTGCAAACAAAAAAGTGAGATAAAACTATGTGTACATGGGTAAATATAATATATATATAGTAAAATTTGTACTGGTTATAAAAATGTTGAGAAACACCCAGAAAGATATGAGCCCAGGTGTTATTGTTGTTATTGAGCCCAGGTGTTATTGTTGCTGAACAAGGGGTTGTGAGTAATTTTTATTTCTTATTTATAGTTTGCTGTATCTTCCTTTTTTTCTCAATCAAGAAAGTATCATGCTTATATGGATGCTGTATTTTTTAAAACTAAAAGTCAAAATTAAGGTCTGTCTGTGACAAAGGTTCAGGTTCCCAACGCAGCAGAGCTGGTGGATCTTTCCACAAATTAGATGTTGCCACAGAAATGGCACCTGGCAGGTTCCCAGAAAGGACTGAAGAACAAAAGGGGTGCTCCAGAGTGAATGTCTCTGGGTCACTAAGTTGTGGTCCAGAGTGAGGAAGCCAGAGACAATTCTAGAAACATAAGGATTCAGGGTTCTGTCACACTGCCAAGACTCTGGAAAGTGCTATGGAGGATGTAGGAGCATGCTTATTTAGTGTTTTTAGGGATCCTAGACATTATCTTGTGGAAACCTCGCCCCACTTTGTGAATCGATTTGACTCTCTAAAGTTCTCAACTAGAATCTCTGTGATTCCGAAGATAAGTCTTTCCTCTTCTAACCAGGGGCCTCTTTCTGATGTGGATGAAAATTGTAGAGTTGACACCAGGAACTCTCACCGGCAGATGTAGCTCAGGAGGCTGTAGTTGTCCCGAGGAAGGATGGAGAGCTGCTTTGTCAATTCCTGCTGAGCCTAGGAAGAAAAATGTAACACCAGTAAGCAAGATTGCATATTTGCCAGCAATGAGACCTGGCAACATAACTGGTGTATCTGTATGGAAACAGTACTTTAGCAATCACTCCTTGGCAATCACTCCTGATCTTATGTTTTCTTGAGTAGTTTTTTAAAAATTACTGTAAATTCTCAGAGAGTTTCAAGAAAAAGTGTAGAGAAGGTCACAGTTTGGGTGCAGTGTAATTTTTAGATTTGTCTGTAATTATGCCACCTCATCCCACTCCTGGTTAACTTAACTACTTTAAGTCACTGACTATTGCCAACACACACACACACACACACACACACACACACACACACACACACATTATTTGCTTAATGGATGCTTGAGATGTAACAACTGACCAGAGAATTGGACCACAGTCAAATAGCTCAGGATCACTTTTAAAGTGGTGAAGAAGAGAAGATGCTTCTGGCAAGACTTTCAAGTACTGAGGCCTTGCAGAGACCTGCTAGGACAAAAGATAGACTGGCCAAGTTGCAGGGAAAGTGTAAGGTTGGGCTTTACAAGTTCTGTGGTGGTCATGGATGTCTGGTGTGTCACTCAATGGATGCCTGTGCCAGTGAGAGGGAAGACAGGGAGCTCTTTGCTCTTTTCAGCCACAACTGTCTATGACCTTTCTCATGATGGTCATGATGAACACGTTCATGTAAGGTCTGCGGGCCGTCCTCAGACCCGAGAAACCCTTCATCACAAACCTGAGCTGGTTTCCTGGAGAAAGCATTCCCTGAAGGTTTTTCAGCCCTCACATAACACCATGGTGTAGACCCTCCGATCCAGAGTGCCTGCTCCATGATGAGAGCGCTCTCTTTAGCTGAGTTGAGTGATTTCTTTGCAAAAGTTGCTGTAGGCTCACCTCTCCCAGCAACTCTGCCATACTTTCACCAGTGAGAAAGATCATGGTTCCTCTGTCCTGCCAGGGTCAGAAATCCTACTGGTGAATGTGTATATTCTCACCAGAATGATACGGAAGATGGTGACTATAGACCCTACTGACAGCTGTAGTTGAAAAGATCAAAAGGAACCTCCTTATCCTTCTTCTCACTGGCACATGCATTCCCTGAATGACCTGCCTGTCATCTACTGGTATCACAGAGCTTGAACAGTCCAACCCCACATCTGCCTTCCAGCTTGTTTGGTCAGCCTGTCCTTGAGTCCCAGGATGTTTCAGCAGGGTCACAGTGCTTGGAAGCCTTCTCAGAAACATCCTCCTAGGCTCATTATTTTATAAGCAATTCTGAGACATTTGATTGTGATCCATTTCCTTATTGGACTATGATAGCCCATGAAATCATTGTGAATGTTATCACCTGCCCTCTGTTGCTGAGAAAGTTCCAGATTGATAAAGTATTTCACCAAAGGGTTTGGGGGACCCTGCCCCACTGTACAAGACTGTTCAGGAAACACATCATTTTCTTCTAAAGCAAGACAACTAACCCGAAAGTCACCAACCTTGGCCTCATCTGCGTTCATGAGCTGCCCACAGAGCAGGAACCCTTCATACTGGCTCCAGGGAACCACGGGCTCTGGAAGGTCTCGGAGGTAAAGCTTTAATAGAGAGGCCACAGTGTGCACATCTGTGTCTCTAGAAGAAAATAAGCAATGCTCTTTGAAAAGAAAACTCCAGAACTCTTCTCACTCCTCCCTGATAGTCCAGTCAGTAAAACCATGAGTTCCAGAGGGTAGTATTACAAAGGAGTAGAGTCTGGTACAAAAGAATCAGATGCAAACATTCTGGAATGACAACCCTGAACACTTTCTCCCTCCACTAATTGCACCTAACAGCCTCCAAGGTATTTTCAAGGCTCACTTTTTCATTAAACCTTCTTTAACTATTTCATGTTAATTGCTTTCTTCCTTTTTCAAGTCATTTAGTATTCGCCCCCCGTATCATCTAAGTAGTTTCTAAGATTTTCTCTGTTAATTTTTTTATACCCTTGGTCCACTGATCTAGTTAATCTCCTAGAGTGCTTCAAATAGTTTAAAGATTCATCATATATTTTCTCAATAATTCATTCAGTCAATAAGCACTGAGATATCCTCAGTTTTGATTTGTTCTGTTTTGTTCTTAACAAGCACTGGGATTCAATACTAAACCCAGGGGATGCCAGGTACCCTGGCCTCATTGGGCCACAGAGCTGGAGGGGAGGGAGGGAAGCCAGCATCACCAGTCCTTATAATATTGCATGGATGGGACCACCATACAGAAGTCCAAGATTCAGAAAATGTCTGGACTCAGGAAGTCCTTCATGCATGGGAATGTAAAGGGTCACCCAACTCAGAGCTAAAGCACAGGTGACTCCTCAGTTGAAGCAGCACCTCAGTTGAGATCTAGAACGTGAGAGGAATGATAGCTCGAGACAGGTAGCACATGTGTCAGGCAAGAGAGTGGAGAGCAGTGATCCTGCTGCCTGCACTGAGACAACATTCATATGGCTGTTCATTCTTAAGACATAGGCTTTACAGTGCAACCTCTCCAGGCTATACCAAGGCTTGGTAAACAACAGCCCACAGCACCTGCATTTCTAGAGCCTGAAAATAATTTTTATATTTTTAAGTGTTGGAAGGAGTCTCAAAAGAAAACTATTTCATGATATATGAAAATAATATGAAATTCAAATTTCAGTATCCACAACTAAAGTCTCAGAAGAATACGGCAGAATCCATTCATCTCGGTGTTGTCTTTGTTTTCAAACTCTAAGAGAACAGTGTAGTAGTAGATGTGGCAATGAACCCCAGCCTGCAAAGCCCAAATATTTAATAGGTGCCCCATTCAGGAAGATTTGCTGACCCCTGACTGAACAGGGCTTTTGTATTTATTTGCAGTACTATACGAGAAAAGAAAACCTGCATTTACCCCATATAGTCATATGTCATTTAACAAGTGGCATTTTTAGGAGGCATCCCTGGTGGTATCTTGGAAAGCTGTGAGGTGGCCAGAGGTGCAGACAATCTGAGAATGCCCTTGGCTTCAGGAATGGAGAATAATAGAAAGGTTGGGTGGACATGGCCATGGCAGAGGAAAGGAAGGGTGGATTTGGACAGGAGAAGGGAAGGCAGGTATTTGAGACAACAGAAACAAGAATACCAGGAATTGTTGTAAAGCTCTCTCTTGAAGTTCTGTGTACATTTTTTCATTTTCTTCATTTTTCATAGCCAGTTTTTGGTACTATCTTCCAAAAAGCTTCTGCTTTGCAATGTGTGAACTTTCTACCTCCAAAGGAGAACACAGAGTTGGCACAGAGCTGTCTACACTGTGTTGCCCTCAGGAAATCTGGGCTGGGACCATTCTCTTTACATGAGGATTCTGAAAAACTCTATCCTGCTGAGTCACTGTCTAAAAATACCCCTGGGCAAAGCCAGGTTTGGAAAAGTGCTTTTGTCAAAACATGGTGAGAAGTTGAAAGAGAGAGAGAGAGAGAGAGAGAGAGAGAGAGAGAGAGAGATCAGCTGCCAACCTGCTAAGGTTCTAAAGTCCCATTCTCCGAATGGCCCCATGTTGCAGCCCACCCAGCTGTCTTGATCAGGTCTGGGGCCTCTGCTATGACCTTTACTCCACAGCCAATCGCTCTCCCACACCCACTTTTGTTATCACGTGAATCCCTTAAGCCCCTTCCTGCCTTTCAGTGCCCTATTGCTGGGGGTCATTGTCTTGTGCCAGGATTCTGGCCCAGCCTGCTAGCTGGTGTCTTGCCTCCTGCAACCTAGTCATGGGTGCGGAGTTCTCTGTGGGGCACCGCTTGGAGCACATTGAGAACACCCACAGCATGAGTGGAGAAAACAAAGACTTTGAAATGAGAAAAAAAAAAACAAAACAGCATAAATCGTAAGTCAAAACATTGAATCTTTTGAATTGAAATAATAAAAAGACAAGTAGTTTGATCAGAAGAAACTAAAGACAATAAATATATCCAACACTATAAACAAGAAAGAGCTTATAGCCACATATGTAATATGGATAGTTGAAAGTTATAATCAGAGGGTACAATTCTATCTATTTATGTATCATACGTGTGTGTGTGTGTGTGTTTGTGTGTGTGACCTTAGGACTTTGAAGCCTTCAGAAAACCCAATTCATTTTGCCACACAAAGATGATGCTGATAATCCATATCCACCGCTTGGCCTGGCTAATTCCCTGTTTTCTTTGTTTCCTCATTGAGCTTATTGGTACATTTTAGGTGTACAGTACAGTTACATTCATCATTGAGATCTTGTACCTTTACATGACAGGTCTTGGTTCTCATTTTTTCCCCTTATCCCTGCTCTCCCTTCACCCCCTCCTCCCTTCCCTATTCACAAATACTTTATTTCCATTTTTTCATTTTCTCATTTTTTTCCTTTTCTCTTATTACCTTCTCCCTACCCTTCCCATTTCCCCTATATCTTTATCCCTTTTCTTCCTAGTTCACATTGTCAATTATATCATTAGGATCTTATTAATTCCCTATTTTCTTAATAAGGTTTCAGCACAAATGTAATTTTCTTGTGAACTTTTCTAAATCCACCACATCATGTCTAAGTTTTCACAGTACTCCCTAATTTTCATTTTTTAATACTTGGAACAATGGAGATTATACACTTACCTCTGTACCCTTTTGCTTTAATGCCTGTGCCTCATCATATTACTCTTACGTGGTCTAAGTCTCCAGCATCATGTTTCCTGAGTTGGCTGCTCCTTCAACCCAATGCTACAACCTTGTTTGTTTTTTGTTTTTTTTTTAAATCAAGGACTAGAAGCAAGTCAGGAATCAGGTGCCTTTGGAGTTCAGCAGTTGATATAGCAAGAGATTCCCTAGACTCCTTGATGGCGTTGCCAGCCTTTGTCTCGGTCACTGATTCTTATAATGTGGTATGTCTGCCCATCCATTTCCCACAGCAATACAGGATGCAAAGTATATTGCCTTTGCCATCAGGCAATATCCAGCCTGGTGGAGAGGAAATTTAAAATTTACATCTCTGTGTTTGATGACCAGATACACCTGTGCTAAAGTCTCTCCAACAAGCACTCCTGATACTTTTCATTCTAGTGAAGCAGGCAAGAGTGGGGTGGCTCTTCCAGTGGAAATGAGTATAAGGCCAATGTGGAGGATGTAGGAGAACATTCACTGAACTGATGTGGTGGATACTAGGAACGGGCTCCTTGCTCTCTCAATCGCCCCTGCCACTATACATATCTAGAAAAATGGGGGGAAGGGAAACGAAGCTGCAATGGGCAGGGGACCTCGGAAGTGAAAGTGACCAGTCTCAGATGGTCTCCTGAGAGTGAGTCTGGCACAGAGTGGGAGAGGAAGAGATCCTCCTCTGGACTGTGTTACCTGAACCATATGTGTGCAGTGAGGGTGGAGATGTGTGTGGGCTTTGGGGCTAGAGACCAGGAGAAAGGAGAAACAGAAGGAGGGAGGAGTCCTGAGTGGCCCCAGGTGAGCAGACCCCCAAGGCCCAGGAACAAGCTTCCTGACCCTCAGACAGATTCTAAGACTGCTTCATCACCTGTAGAATTTTAATAGCCGTGTTTATTCTCCAGGTTTATCTGGGGGCCAAATCAGAAAATGTGCATGAAATGATTTTAAAACTCTGGTTCAATGTTTTATTAGGCATTCATGACACATCCCAAGGGGCAAAGAAATTGAAAGATGGACATTGAGATGAACTCTGCTGACTCCACAGCTATGTCCATTGTAAAAGCCTAGAGGATGCTATACCCCAATCTATAGGTAGGAAGGATATTCTCTTAATCTAGGACATGCTCTTAGAGGAAGCCTTAACCCCTACGTGTGTTGGAGTATAGCTAAGTAACAAGAACAAAAAAGTCACTCCCTTCCAAATCTGATTGGTCCTCTCATCACAGACTCACAAGGCAGCCCAGGGAGGACTGGAAGAGTCCAGGTGACCCTTCCTACTTGTGGCTGTGTCAGTTGTACCTCTCAGTTGTAGAGGTAGAGCTGTCATGACAAGGTGTGACAACTTTGCTGCGTCTAACCCCAAGAATTTTATGGGAATCGAAGACTTGACACCACCATTCATGTCAACTTGATGGTGATGATGCTAAAGCCTGAGGCAGTTATTTGACAAATCTCAGCAACCACTTCTTTCCTTTTGGCTTTACATGTGCATTGTTCTAGCAACAACCCACCTGCATCTTTTGATCAAGTCAAAGCTACTTAAAAACTTGAAAAGAAAACTGAATATAAAGGCAGTCGGCATAACAGAGTAGGTTCCTGCACCTGAAATTCAAACTTTGCTATAGTTGCAGCTTCGTTTATAGTTGCAGCTGAAATGTCCCTAAATTTTATGTCCACAAGCTACTGTAGTTCTAGTAACAACTCCACCCATTGCTTTCCTAGCAGACCCCAGTGCAGCGATGGCAAACCATTTAGAACTTTCAACCATACAAATGGCCCACTGCAGCACGCGTGCCATAGGTTCGACACCTCTGCCCTGGTGTGTTAATATATAGCTCCCTTGACAAATTAAGCTTTGCTACACTAAGGACAGGAAAGATAGATATGCGCTGGCCCGATTGCAGATAGTGGCTATGGGGATAGAGAGAAAGAGATGGACCTCAGAGAGGCTTGGGAAGAGGAATGGGCAAGTTGGTGATCAGGGCATAGAATGAGGAAGAGGAGCAACGAGACTCTCCAATCTTCCCAGGATCAGTCCTATTCTTCTGTCCTAAACAGGATCTGGGGGGAACCGGATAGAGTTCGGGCCCCTCTTACTAAGTCTTAGCTTATAGGTTAATGATTTAGAAAGAACAATTAATCTTAGGCCAGCAGGACCAGTACATGGAGGTAACGATGGTGAACTCTGCTCAGTAGACTGGGGGTACACAATGTTAGGGGGCATTGGCTGAGCATGGCAGGCAAAGAAACCTCCACCAGGTGGCTGGAGTGGGTAAGGAGGAGAGGGATGGTGGGAAGGAACATCTGAATCTCATACGCCCCAAGTCGGGCAGAGCAATCTCCACAGAGGAGACTTGGGAGACCACCAGGCTCCTGCCATCGTGCACTCCCTCCAGAAAGCTCAGCATCACACAGTGCTGGGGGCTTGGAGACTTATGGGAAATCCCCTTGCTGCTCACTTCTGGAAAGCTGAGAAGGACGACTGTCACCCTTGGCTACAGTTGCACACAGTTGCCTTCGCACCACCTCTTTGCACAGCCAGCTCAGCTCTTCGACACTGCTCATCTGCCCAGAGGGGAGACCAGAAGCTGGCTCGGTTCCAGCTTTCTCCCCACTCTGCACATCCCCTCCACTACATCCCAAGTACCACTTGAACCTGCTCAGTAAGGTGTTCGTTTCCATTCACATTCTCTCTCTCGTAAACATCAGCCTACTCTCCTCAATTCTGTGGGCCCCAAATTCTGAATTGTGAGCAGAACAAAGACTGCTTCTGTCACAAGCCAGGGCTCTTGGAAACATCCACGCCAGTCCCATGGCTCCACTGAACAGAGGGTCCTCTCAGGCAAGCTAGGCAGAGGCAAGGGCAGCTCCAGTACTCCACAGGTGAGAACGGCATACCTGTCAAAAGATGGCCGCTCCCCGGCATCAAAAGCGTCTCTCAGCTGCTTCACCAGGTTGTCCTGCCCAGGCAGGCGGAAGATGCCCTCTTCATTCACACCATGCTTGAGGATGAACTCCGCACACTTCTCCACCAGGATGGGTACCGGATGGGGGCCGAACTTCTGTTCATAGGCTACAGTCTCATCCAAGCGCTGGCCAAACACGACTGGGAAGAGATGAAGCAGGACCTGCCCATCATTCTGACCTTCCTTGAATTAACTGCTGGGGTAAAGTGCTTTGCCCATTTCTTGGTTCTTTGTGGTCACCCACCCACCATTTTGCCACAGTGACACAAACAGAACAGGGACACTAATTACTTGTAATATTTCCAGGTCTACAAATGTGGGGCCTGTAAATGTGAGGCAGTCTGGGTAAGTGTCTCTGTATTGATCTGCAGAATTGAAAATACCAGCTGGCTTTTACTGAATACTTATGTGCTAGAAGTCCTGTTACACACTTTGCACACCTTTTGTCATTTCATCTGAACAGCGAGCCCAGGGGTGGTAGCGCTATCCTACATAGCCAATTCACTGTTTGAAGACTCTAAACCTTAGAGGTGCTAGTGAGTGTGCCACATCAGGCAGGGCAAGGCCAGGCAGGGCACAGTCAGAATTCAAGCCCAGACAGTGAATTCCCGAGAATGTGTGCTAAACAACAGCGGCAAGCAGGCTGTTTTGAATTCTGACTTCATGGCAGAGTATTAAAGCATGACAGCCTATCGCATGATTGTCTCAAGACTGTCTAAAAGCACTGTGACACTTAAAATAATTCAGGTTGTTTGCTATGTTTGACTATTATAAACATGGCCACACTGAACACGTACTCACGAAGCTCCTGGAATGTATGTAGTACAAACGCATAATGTCTAATTGATTGCTTAATATATTAACATTATGGATGTTAAACACAAAGGATGGATAAACACAAATATTTCATCCTTTTGAACTATTTCTCTAGGGCAGATTCCCACATGTAAATTACAGGGTCAAGTGGCTTGGACATTTTTGCGACCTGATGGTATGCAAATTGCTTTCCAAAAATATTTTCCCAAATTGCACAGCCTCCAACAAAGCAAGCTTGGATCAGCTCCACCCAGGCCCGGTCAGCACTTGGTTCTGTAATTTCCCCCACCCCTGCGTGTAACAAGATTAATTTCTAGGCAGGACAATCAGTCCTTGCCTCCTTTATCACCCCACCAGGACCCCAGGCTCTGCGTTATGCTGGGGTTTAGAAGACAGGTCCTGGCTTTGGATCTATCCTGCCTCTCCCCCACCCTCTTTCTCTCTCTCTCTCTCTGGCCCCCCTTCTCTAGATCTTAATTAATATAAGTTCCCCACACGCATTTCAGCTGTACCAGGTTCTTGAATCCTCTGGCTTCCTCCCTTGCCTGTAAGTGCCACTGTCCCTCCTATCTACCATTTTCAAGACCCTCCTGCTACTTGTTTTGCCAAGAAGTGGTCTCCCTGAGCACTATAGCCCTGGTTTTGAACGTCCTCCCCGTCCTCCCGTTACCACAGCAGTGTTCGTCAGGATGACACCTCAGTGCCTGAGAGCTGCTCAGAGCCCCTCCATCACCATGTCAGGTTCAGGGATATGGGGGAGTCCGATCTCATCCTAGCCACATGGACCAGACTGCTGTCAATTTTTGACATATTGAGTCTCAGGATTTTATTACATTAAATATCTCTGTAGCTCAAGTTTGAAAACCCAGCCTTGTAATCCTCAGAGTGGCCAGGTACCCACCTATTTTTTAATGTGACTTCCTGCCATGCTTCCTCAAGCATCTCACCCTAACGAGCTCTCCAGTTTTTGTGTCTTGGGGCAGTCTCTATTCTCTGCACAATCTGTCCTCTCCCTCCCAGATTGTTGGAATTCTGTTTGCCTTCCCTGACCTCTCTCTAACACCTCTGTCTCTGCCAGGCCTTCCTTGAGCCCCACATGGATAGACTTCTTGTCCTGTGCACCCCTACCAGCTCCTGCACGTCCCCATCCCTTACCACACTGTATATTGTAGTTTGCATGCACCACTGTGCTCTGCATGGCCACAAGGCCCTGAGGCCAGGAATGTGGTGGGGGAGGGGTCTCTTTTCATCTCCAATGCTTAGCATAATGCTTGTCACAAGACAAACATTTTGCCTAAAGAGTTAATAAGTTCTTCTGTCTTTGAGCAAGTATTTTCCATGACTGATGATGATTTCGGCATTTCTCTACTTGAAACACTAGTAAGCATCTCCTCCTCGGAAAACGAATCCTCTTTCACACTAGCAGTTGTCAAGTGTCCCATGATTTGCTCAGCTTTGTGCCAGAATCATGGAAGGGGCCACACATACCAAGGACATGGAAGACCTGGGTCTTGCTTTCATTTTACCTGGCCACCCAGGTATGAAAGAAAAAGGCCCATACAAAAAGTGGTGAGAGACAAATAGGGAATGCTAATAACCATGCAGAATTAGTTCCTATTTTCTGTGAGAGGAGCTGGATGTTTATTTCTACCACATGGGAAAGATATGACTGAAATAAAAAGTCTAACATAATCTGGGTGTGGTGGCACACACCTGTAATCCCAACACTCTAGGAGCCTGAGGCTGGAGATTGAGCCTGGCCTGGGCAATTTAGTAAGACCCTGTCTCTAAATAAAAAATTAAAAATGCTTGGAGATGTAGCTCAGTCTGAAGGCTGTGGGTTCAATCCCTAGTACTGAAAAAAAAATACCTTGTGACATTTGGGAAATTCCTTTTGAGGAGTCCCAGGGGGTTCCAGGGAGGGGCCCTCAGAGAGAGTAGCAGTGAGCTTTGGGAGCTGTTGAAACTTGAGCTCCAGGGTCCCACTGAGTCCCAAAAGGGAAAAACAGCCCAAACACCATGGAACAGTGAGCATAGAGAAGCTGGGCTTTTCTCCTCACACAAGTTCATCAGCCTTGTCCTGTCCAGCCACTGTTCTCCCCACACCTACACTCAGTCATTCCCATGCCCCTTGTCACCAGCACATTCATTTTCCAACATCACTTTTCCCTCCAGCATACCACCTTGGTGGTCCCCACTATGCTAAGCCACCGAGAGCTATGAGGAGTCAAGTCATTGTCACATAATGGACATTTATAATTCTAATCTCTGTAAGACCTCAGTGGTTTCAAATCCTCACACTCCCCTTGAGCTCCCCAACCTCTCTGGTTTTAGCAGGTGACAATGACTTCCCTTCCCTCATCTCCACACTGAAGGATATGAGTGGACTCCCTTGCCACAAGCCTATTCCTCCCCATCCTTCCTCCTCTGATTGTGTTCCTGTCCTCTCAGGGAAAGAAAGGCCTTGCCTGTCCTCTAGCTGATGCTTTCTGAAAGTGACAGCTCCTTCCCCTCCATGTCTCCCAGACTGTACTCTTTCTCTCAATTGTAAGTTTTTTTTTCTTTCCATATAAAGAGCCCATGTGAATCTAGGTCTCTGCCAATTTATGAAAGAATAATTCCCACCCCAGCTCTCAGGCAAGTGGCCCATACTTGCCTTGCTTCTTTTCACCAATGTACGCATAAAAAAAAATCCATTTCCTTCCAGAGGACTGGCCTGCCTCACAGCCTCACTCCTCACTTTAGGTTTGCTTCTCAGCTCATCACTACGGTCTAGTTCCGTTAACCTGTGTCTTTCCATCAAACCTCTATCTAAGGTTGCTGGTGCCTCCTGATGGCCACATCCAGCCTTGAATGATCTCCTGCCCTACTGGTTTTCTCTGAAGAGTCTGATGATGTTGATTCTTCTTCTCTGAAGACCTCCTCCCTAAGTGGCTATAAAATTGTCCATTCTCTCTTCCCATTTCCTTGATGAGTGCTGTTGGTCTCCGTTATTGTGCCCTGTTTTCTACCTGTTTCTTCAGTGGGTCATTGCCTGGGATCCCCAACTCAGTTTCTTTTATCCTCCTTGAAGACACTTCCTTTGGGAAAGTATGATCCATGCATTTGGGTATCACCTATAAACTGCTAACTTATACCTCTGTATGTCTGGTCCAGGAATACCCATCTCCCCCCACCCCGGAAGTCCAAAATAAGTGGCAATTCTCTCATTCTGCTATTGTCTTCTTCAATCTCATTCTCACCCCACTACTAAATCACTGCTTCTCCTGTAGCCCTTCCTCACAGACCACAGCATTCAGTCAGTCAGCAAAGTGGCAAGTACTCTCCCAGGCACTGAGACTACAAAGCCACTAATACAAGGTACGTGAATTCAGCTTACCCAGTTAGCAAAACTGTGAGCTTTAGAACAATCTGTAACACTCTCTCACTCCAAATATATCAGTGGATTTTAATTAAACTGTAAGTGTCCCTCTTTCCTCACTGCAGCAGCCTGTATCATTGTAGTGTGTGTATGTGTGTGTTTGTGTGTGTGTATGTGTTGTAACTCAGTCTCTTGCAAATTCCTTCTACCAGAACCCACAAAAATCATTCTATAAATGTGCACTATGCATCTACTGTGAGCTAAACTCTTTGGTACCTGAAAATTAAGATGGAAAGAAAGATGGAAAGTTTTTACTCTTAAAACTCTTGTCTGAATGCTCTCCTTTTACTCCCTCTTCCTGAGCTTAGCTGCCTTCTCAGAGGGAATTGGTCATGCCCCCCGTGGTGCTCGTGGAACTCTCTGTGTGCATCTTCATCTATAGCCTCTCATGAAGTTTCATGGTGATTTATCAAGCATCTCTCTCTTCCACTGGACTGTGGGCTCCTCAGAGGCAGACAGCCTGTCTGGCTTCCCATCTATTTTTGTCTCCTGGCACGTAGACGGCACACAATGGACTGATCCTCCAGGAGCTACTGCTACCTACTGTCTCCCATTCCTCCTGTTCTGCACCTCTCTGCTCTGCTCAGCACTTCTCAAAACCCACTCTTGTCAAGGAGTCAAAGGCCTTTACATTTTTAGTCCAGGACTTAAGTTGTCGGGCTTCATCGTCTCAGCTGTGCTATCAACAGCATGTGATGCAGAAAGTCATTCTCTCTTCTTGAGACACTGGCTCATATGGCGTTTGGTACACTGTCTCTCAGTTCCTCATTTATCTCACTGGCTGCTCTCACTCAACCTCCTAAAATAATGCTCCCCCACCATTCCTCCAAATGTCAGATTTCCCAGGGCCTGACTTCTCCATCTTCACAGACTTCCTCTTACTCTCATGGGTTTAAATATCAC